ACACACACACACACACACATAGCAGAAAGCTACTACGTTGTAGCCACAACTGCCCTGGGGAAGGCTGACAGGCATGAGGCCGTCATGCACCAGCACCACTGCTGACCACCACTTAAATGAGTGATAAGCAGAATATTGTTAAAATGTTTAAAAAGACTGACTGAGAGAAAAGGCTCTTCACATCCGAATGTCTTTAAACTTCTCTTTTTGTTTATTCCTGGAGCTATGTGTTACCCATGCTGCGATTCATCTCTGTAAGAACCTATTCATAACAATAACGCAAACTATGCATAAAATAAACACTAAAAACCTTCTTTATGGCTTCTCATTAAATAGTTACTTAAAAGAGCAGAGTACTCAATGCCAATCTAAAACTGCCATCAGAAATGTTTATTTTTACGGAAGAAAAAAACAAAAAAACTTACCAATGACTATCAGTTTATATCTTTTGGTCATATGTTGGTTGTTAATTAATATTTCCAGGTCATACAATCCGCTGTCTTCATATCTCAGGTCGCTGATGAACAGATTTGCAGAACTCCAGTCAAGAGTGACCCGGTCTTCAAATGACCCAAAGGATTTTTCTTCTCTGCCATCAAAATGCACCACTTTGTGAACGTTGTGTCCTTCTACACGCTTCCACAGAATGTCAGTAGGGGATTCTTTGTTGCTGAAGCCTGGGAAGTCGACTCCCCCCCCCACCAGTTTATATATTGTATCTTGTCCAGAAACTACAAAGAGAATTTAAGTGAGAGTAGAAATGTTAAAATGTAAAAAGATAAGTACACTATACAAAACAATGTAGTAAATTAGAATTTCAAGCCCATCCCTGATGATTTGTTTATTCAATCATTGGGAAGAAAAAAAAATAATGACATTCCTAGATTTTTATCCTTTCAAAAAAATATATGGCCCACACAGTGGAAAAACACAAGATATTACCAAAAAATTTTTGGTCTAGTTGATTTTTGACCTAGAAATTAAATAAACCGCCAGCGAAACTAGTAGTGTTTTAAAAATCAATGAATTATTTACTTAAAACAATTATTTACTTAAAACAAGCTCCTGGATCTTGCTGAAAAACTATTTGGTTTTCCTTTGTTTCAAGCGTCTTCAGATATTTGCACTAGAAACTAGAGCAGAACTTCTTGGTAAGATATTGCATGTTGCAGTGTAAGCTCTTCAACCAGTCATTTCTAACTCAAAACATGTCCTGCCTCCTATTGTCAACAACATCCAAAAAGTCAGCAAGATTTAATTCTTATGGGGCCTAAATGCCCTTTAAAAAAAAAAAAAAAAAAGTTATGTTTTTCACATAAATGTGAAAACTTCAATTTATTAATAAAAACAAACAAAAGCATGCTATATTATTCTTCTGAACTGCCCACCTCTGAAGATGTTTTTAAAATATATTTTGGTTATGAGAGGTGGGATAAGATTATCTATCATTAAAACTGTTAACCCTGTCACAGGTAAAACCCTCCATATAGCACGTAAACATAGCAATATTTACAGTTAGAATATACAGACAATGCTGTCAAGATCAGCAATGCTAGCTGCCCTAACTACACAAAATATTAACAGAAGAGGTTGGAAACAGTTTGAAAAAATTGGGTTTTTAGTCTTAATTTCTCTGAAAATGATTTTGTTAGGATTAAGAGACCTACACAAGGTGATGGTACCGCCTTCATTTTCAGATGAATTGGACAGTGTTCAGTGGGAGGCCTAAAGCTTAGA